GAAGCTGCCACTGCCCAGCCCGGATGCAGCGAGTGTAGTTGGTAGGGGGGGGGGTGGCTAGTAGTAGTAGTAGTAGTTTTAGTAGTAATAATAATAGCAGCAGCAGCAGCAGCAGCAGTAGTAGTAGTAGTAGCAGTAGCAGTAGCAGTAGCAGTAGTAGTAGCAGTAGTCGCAGTAGCAGCAGTAGTAGCAGTAGTACTAGCAGTAGTGGTACTCGTAGTAGCAGCAGCTGCTGGAGCAGCAACAGCAGGAGTAATTAGTAGTAGTAGTAGTAGTAGTAGTAGTAGTAGTAGCAGTAGTAGTAGTAGCAGTAGCGGTAGTAGTAATAGCAGCAGCAGCAGCAGCAGCAGCAGCAGCAGCAGGAGTAGTAATAGCAGCAGCAGCAGCAGCAGCAGCAGCAGCAGCAGCAGGAGTAGTAGTAGTAGTAGTAGTAGTAGGAGGAGGAGGAGGAGGAACAGCAACAGCAGCAACGGGTAGTAGCAGTCGTCGTCGTCGGCACCGTCTTCTTCCTAGTCCTAATCGCGGTCGCGGTCGTTGTGGTCGCGGTCGCGGACCTGGTAGGGGTAGGTGTAGGGGTAGCGGTGGTGTTAGTCACTGTTAGTCGTAGTCGTCGCCGTTCTCTCTTGCAGCAGTCATGTTTTTCATCCAGATTCAGTGTTTGCGATCCTGAATTAACTTTTTGTTGATCGCTATCGTGATGCCATGAATGAAGCTTGTGCCAAGCGCAGAATCTAACATTGCCCGACCCTTCGGTAGGCGCTGCCAATCACTGAGTTGCAGGTCTCGCCGACTGTGTCTTCTTCACCTGGGTCGCGGGTCCCGACTAGTCCAGATGCAACACAGGTTCGAGAATTGGGCGCAGCCCTCACAAGCAATAACAGAATCGTCGTCCCACCTGTCCCACATCAAGCCAGCAAACACAAAGACTGACAGCACCGAGGGTCATGACAACGGGAGTCGAGGCTGGCAGAGTTGCATGTAGCTTCAGGAGACTTGTACCACGAGCAATTCAACCTGTGAACATCTGGGCTTTATGGAGCCAATAGTCTGTTTCTAAATCTGTTCCTGCAATCACCGCAACTTTCAATGATGGCTTGTGGTGTCCAGCCGTCACTCAATAGTCTCTGCAGCTGTGCAGCCATCCACCCAAACAACAAAGACAACGCCATCCAAGAGAGTACTGAGTACTGTGATTCGCCCGAGCATTCCGGAGACCAAAACCGAAACGACCGGCCAAGCAAAACCCCGACTAAGAAGTCGAATCGGCAGTGGTCACACCAATAATTAGCCAAGACGTGGGCAGGCGACTGTATGTTTGAGTAAACAGGCGTTTTGGTTGCAGGCTTGAAGTCGTGCCGCGGATTGAGAAAGTGCTAAGCAAGGGACGCCTCTCACACTGCTAGAACAACAGCCAATGAAACAGACCCGTGCTCCCTTCGGCATTGGCTTCCAGACAAGAACCTGCAGAAGCTAGTCAAGCGTGAAGCTGAGACCACGACCGTAAGCACGACAATCAATAGATGCTGCACCTCACGTCGTCACGGCGACGCAACAGCCGCTTCATGCTGTGTCAGACAGTGAGCTACGTCCCGGACAAGTGGAAGCAGCAGTGGAGCCAAAGACCGTCATGTTGTAAGAATACACCTGCTAACCGCCAAATAGCACGAAGTGAAGTCTTGCTGTGCTGGATGGGTCCCTTGCCCGGTGATCCATGTCTGTAGTCGGCCGGAGGAACCGCATGGTGACCTTCCAGGGCATCTGTGCAGCCCATCCCAGAGGGCATGGCATCACGACTCGGCAGCAGACTCCGATGTGGTTGTCACTGACAAGGACTGTGTCCAACCTGGGACGCAATGCAAGGGTGACATGAAGAATCAAAAGCGCTGCTTCAGCTGGCCTGACATTCGCTGTTTGCTCCGCAGTGATAATGCCTGAAACCACACAGCACGCGATTGACCCGTAAAAGAACAGCCGGTGTTCTGTTTCGATTTGCAAGCATCATGCTCCAAATCTGATCAAGAGCTCCTTTGGCATGAAACGTTTTGAAACCATACTTGGACGAAGATCAGTTGCCAGCACACTGTCATGCAAATGCACAACAGCACCGATCCACAAAGCTTCGCCCGGCTGGAGATACATACCGCCAGGACTTGCTGCATTGACAAGCCCAAACACCAGTCACTAGCCTGCTTCGCAAACTAGCTTGAAGGGCAAGGGCCTTGCCTTGCATTGAATGTACTCCAGTGCTCTCAACACCTCAAGTTGCGGTCATTCCGAGTCTTTGCCAAACCAGATTTTCCCTACCTTCCTCTTCCATTCCTCTGTGACTTGGCTTTCACCCTCTTCCTCTTCTTCCCACCAGCTGCAGGGGTCAGAAGAGCCCCTCCGCTTTTCGTCTTTCTTGGCCTCCCACTCAAACGGATCCAGTTTCTCCTCTTCCACGCCCTGCAACCTCAGGCAGGTGGGGTCTTGCTATGTGCTCATACAGCAGGAACTATGTAACTTAAGAAGAGGACACGAAAGCTGGCTAGGGCATCAGCAGAGTCGATAGAGCTCGGGCAGCATGGATGCAAGCACACACGTATGCCATGAAGCTTCTTCGCCTATGAGATGACTGCTTTGCTTTACGATGGCCCACGTACACCCCCCTCGTATCGTAGCACCTTGACCGACCTCATTACACTCCGGAATGTCCCTGCATAAGTAATCACCCGGCCATCTACGAGCAGCTTCGAACTGTCCTGGTGGCAGCTTAGCCAGTTACTTGGACCTTAAGGTGGCCGGGAACCAAAGGTGGGGTGGGGGGGGGGGGGTTGGGGGGGCCTTTCCACATTGTAAAATACCGCGGGCAGCTTGAAGTGGGGGGGGGGGCTTGTCCTTCTTGGCTCTGAATCAATCATTTAGGCAGCAGCGCGGGGGGTGCCCTCTACCCAGATGAATGGTTACCGACAACTCCCGCAAGCTCCACAGAGCTAGCTTCGTGACCATGCCATGAAGTAGTCTCGTGCCGTAACGAGCGTACCAAGACCGAAGGCAAAGGGAAATACCAAAACGCATAGCAAGCGAGCACATTTAGTACAATGCAGCAACGCATTGTACAGAGAACGACTCCCGCCGCAGCAGATGCTTGGCCGATCCAAAAGAAGCTAGCCGGAACCAAACCATTGAAATTAGGACAAAGGAGCGTCTGCGCAATATCTTTCAACTCCGAGAGCTCCGGAAAGGCCTGCAGGGGGAGCCGACAAGGAAATATACATTGAGGAGTCCTTTCAACGGGAAACAGGCAAAATGTAACTACATGAGCGACGACCCACTTGAGGTTTACCCGAGCCTGCACGATGCCGGGATGCTCTTCACAAAACTTCAGGAAATCGCTTCGATGTTCCACTGGTCCACAACCAGCCAGCGTCAAGAAAACTCTCTGCTTGATGGCACCCGACAAGACCCACATCGTCATGAAAACGACCCCCGTAAACGGCCCTATGGCTCCCCTCTCGGCTTGTAGCACCTCTAGCTGTCGTTGCGACCAAGTCTCGGGTCGGGGTGGAGTCACAACGATCGCAAGCACCCACAGCCAAACAACGGGCCAAAGTATGCAGACACACAGAATCGCACAAGCCCGTGCGCCGGTCGAACAGGGGCGTTTCCGGAACCTGTCCGTTATTGAAATTTCACCTCTCCGGAATTCCTTCCAACAAATGTATGGAAACCCAAAAGCCATCACCAGGGGACATAGGGCCGGGAGATACAGCGCCCAATGCACAATGCTGTACAGCGAAGATGTGACTGGGGCATTTTGGTTCTCGGGAGACTCCAAAAGCTGGATGATCATCTCGTCTGCTCTCACAATCGTGCCACCAGCAAGCGGAGCTATGAGCATAATGCTTGCACCCCCTCCCAAGAGGTAGAAGCACACAAATGCGTAGAAATGATTGCGGTAGACACGAGGATGCATGCGGCCTTGAGGCGTGATACATGTCTTTGTCCAAATCATCAGGTGCCCTTTATGCCAGGTGCTGCTGAACTGCTCAATATGGTGCGGGATCCTGTACTTCTGAAAATGCAGAAAGTCTCCGTGAATGCTTCCGGTCACATTGTCAACAAGCTCTTCGTAGCAGCCTTTCAACAGCAGCACGGGAGTTACCAATGTCAGCAGGGCTTGGAGAGCTGGCATCTGATATGCGCATGCACAATCCTCGGTGCCGTGTGGCGCAATGAAAATGGACGTGCTCCCGAACGCCCAATAAATAAGCAGCAGTTACAGCAGCAGTCCCTCGAAGGAACGTTGCTGCAAGGCCCATGTAGGCAGCACGCTCCCTGTGTCTCGCCGGGAGCAGCACATCATGAGTCGCTCTGGCAACACCCCACAAAAAACAGAGGCCTATGAAGAGATCCCTGCCAGGACCAAGTAGATGATTCTGGACTCGGACTTTGGATTCAGACCCTCCACAATATGCACGCATGTCGGCAGCTGTCATGTTCGGGCAGAGTGTAGTTGGCTGATGTACTGTGCTCGCGAATCCAGCAGGAAAAAAGGCCCAAAACGCACGCACAACGTAGGGAAATTGATCATCAGGGTGTGGATCAACTACGTCGCCATGCTCATTGAATAATGCGAAAGGAGTCTGCACAATCTTCTCATCGCCATTGACAATACTTGCAAAATAACCCTGCGTGCTTGCAATTTGCTCGGCAGGAAATATCTTCTGATAGATGCACTCTTTCGAAACATTGTTGCAAGGCTGAAGGCCCTCTGGATCGATACTTGCTATGGTCATGATGAAAGTGAGAGACAGGAAGGTGGAAAGGATGGTTTCCCATGCGGCTTTGGCATACGTCAGGAACGACGTGCCCTTGTCATCCATTGGTGGCACATCGCAGGCTGAAAGCAAGACAATGTCTTCTTTTTCTGCCGACTCTTCTGGCATCGCACACATGTCCGTCGTCTCTGGGATCGAGATGTCTTGGGCGGCATGCAGTGAGGCAGCGAGCGGCCCCACAGAATTCCCATACATCTCAGGCTGAGGCTCAAGAGCATCCTGCGCGTTCACGGTGGGTGAAATCATGGCAGCCCTTCGGTTTCCGAAGACTGGATGGTAGAAGTGTGGAAAATGCAGGGTAGTTGGCGATGGACGAGTTAACCTGCACCATCCTTTGCCGTACTGGACTATACTATATTATGCCATGCTAAAATCAACGGTGCTATGCTGCTTCCTGGGTAACTAGGTGCGGTCGCAGTCGACAGCAATGCTCATGAATCCATGATTTCATCAAATCGTTGCAGTGCCTCGGGTTCCAATAGCTGAGAGAGCAGGGAATAGGTTTACACACCAGATTTCGCTTCCCAAAAGCCTGTTGCATGACATGACGGCCACGTGACCGAAGCCATCGGGCTTTCTGGGTGAACTTGGCTTCACACCTGCATGTGCATTCTTCCAGGCCACAAGGCCGTGAATCTGAGCGCACTCGTTGCAGGTCCCCTTGGTTGCGTGGGACATAACTAGAAGTAGAGATCGCTCGCTTTGACGATGCACTGCATGGACTTGGACTCCTCGAGCTACCTGTTCCTACCGGTGACCTGAGGCACGAGCTTGGCAGCCGCTCAGGATGAACATCCCAGTCCTCGGAGGCACGTCCCAGCAAACTCCAAGTCATCCTTAGAGAGGGTGAGAGAGAGAGAGAGGGAGACAGTGGAACTGGAGGAGATCTTCGGCTCTGCCTCAGAGTGCTGAGCACCGCGCATGGCGGCAACTGCCTCGTTCATTTCGTCCTGAGAACACGGTCAATTGTAGGTCACCTGCCGACATGACTACAGAGGTAGCCTCACAGCCTCCCTTCCCCATCAACCAAGCCCTCAAAGGAACAAGAGTCATCCTCTCCTTCGGACCCTGCTGAACCTCCGTCTGAATGGGCTATGAGTATGCTATAAGTGACTCGGTCAGGAGCGCGCACACACACACATACACACGTCCTGCTGCAACTTGGGCGTGCCGACATCGCCCTTCTGGCCTTGACACGCGAACGTCGGTGGCTTTGGTCCTCTACTCCGACTTCGGTTGAGCGGTGCCCCGCGCGGTGCGAGTTTGACATCTCAGCCCAAAGCAGGTCTGCAGCTGAGGCCGCAGGATAAAGCCCGTGTCCGTGGAACCTCATGAAACCACACAGCCGTGGCAAAGTTTGCTCTAACAGCCTTGATTGGATGACTGTGGACAGTGATGCCTGCCACTTGTACCTCAGCAACTGCCAGGCTAGTGGTGAAGACAAGCTGCCTGCGGCAACGTTTCCCACCAACTCTCCTGGACGCACCTCCAAAAAAGCGCGCGTGGAAAGCGCGCGGACAAAAAGAGCCCTTGACTAAGAGCCCTTCAGCCTCCAAGAAGAAGGAACCAAATTGTCGGATCCAGTCTCGCAGAGCAATCTCTGCAAATCGCGAGGCGTCAGGTGAAAAAAAGCGAGTCGGTCCTCGACTCTCCCGCGGATGCCGGAAAGTCTCGATTGCAATGTTCTTGTGCAGTACGATCGAGTCATGCCGGCAGGAGTCACCTGTCGTGCCGCTATTTGAAGCTTTAACCTTCCCTAAATCTCGGTAAATCCAGCAAGGCATGCGGAGCCACACGGCGCTCCGGAATGTCCTGAACACTTCTCGGTCGAGTCGGCTCTCAGCAACAAGAAAACCCATGTGCTGTCACTCAAAGCCTACCGAGGATGGGACCTGTGAAACACGTTCTGCACGATACGCAAATGGGACACGTGGTTGGCCTTCGACTTTGGACACCAGCTGATACGTCATCTTCTTGTCTACAACCAAAACAACCGCCACAACCAACACACCAACAACCAAAACCACCGCAACAACGACAACAACAACTAATGATACTAACATCACCACTACCACTACCACTACCACTACCACTAAAACTACCACTACGACTACGGCTACGGCTACG